AGTTTTTCTCGAAGGAACAAAAGAGGAAAGTGTTTTTTTCATTTTAGAGATATCGGGCCATATAAAAAAAAAATTGAGATTCTCGTATGTGAAAAAAAACTGTGGGGGGAAACCCCCCCCCCCCACCTACCCTTCTCAACCTGTGGTCACCAAGGTGATGCTGGCAGGAACATGCATGGGTAACGTAACTATGGCGGGATGTGATTTGATAATGAACTCAATCTTTCGTCAAACCATGTCCGCTATGATCTATCTCATGGACCGACTGGAAAATCTCCAGCACCTAGCAGTGTCGTCTTTGCAGGAATCTCGAGAACGCCATTGAGTGTCTGTCAACCTGGCGACATTTGTCAGCCCCTTCGTTGTGTGTTCACGGGTAAATACGCAAGTAGCCAACTAACTAGCCGTCTCTGCCTTGGAGCTGACACATCAAAATAATCCTCTGGATAACTCACTTATCTGGTTGGTTAGTTAACTAATTAGTCTTTCCACCTAACCTTGGAACTTGCAATTTGAGAATGACGATGGTCCTGGCGCAAGATATCAATATCCGGGACGGAGAGCATGGCACCCCGAAACCCGGTTTCGTTCAGCAATTGTTGTCCGCGACCTTATTCTCGACTATCATTTGGCGAGCTAAATAACCTTTCAAGTCCTTCCAAGATTGCTGGGTCATTTTTGGCTCTTCCAAGGTTTGCATGATGCCCATCATGTGAAGCCAGCCCAACTGAACGACACTAAAAATTTGCATATTAGCAACGCCAATCCGGCGAGATCATCTCTGGGCGTGACGAAGTTCCGAACAAACGATGGAAAAAAACTAGAGGGTCAGAAATACCACGAGGCACGCTTACGGTTTCACAGCATTCTCACCCCGACATTCCGTCCCAGCACGATGATAATCAAAGCGCGGATCGGGAGAAGGATACTTCACAAAGCCTTCACCCTTCTCTAGTTAGCAGTTTGTGCGATACCAAATCGAAATGGCGCTTTAACCCACGGTAGTGGAGCACGTGGATGATTTGGAGTTTCGCCTCCCAACATAATACAAAGGAATTTGCGGCAAATGCCTATCCTCCTCATGTCTTTGTTATCTCTTTTGCATTGAGACTTGAGTCTACATACGCCAGTTCTCGAGACTACTTCTATGGAGGTCAGCGACTATGACATCGAGGTTAACTACGACATGTTCTGTCTCAGATCTAGTGGTCATCATCTTCACAACATCTTAGCCAAATTTCCCTCAAGGTTTCAAGACGTGTTGATAAATGGTGCAGTTCTATCAAAACTGTAAAAAGCACAAGACAGTGATTCACATGTGCTCTCGAATGACTCTGAGGAGGAATTTATTCACCACTGAAGTCTCATTGCTGGGAAAGCTGACACAAGGCTTTGTTTCAAAAACAACAACAACAACAAAGCCCAGTTTACACCGTGAAAACAGGTCTCATCAGCAGCATGTATTGGGAACCTAGCACCCACTCTCTGGGAAGCTATTGACATGAAGACTGTCCCCGGCGGCGAATCCACAGTTCTAAAACATATACCGATGTCAACTTCGTGGTGGGGGGTATGAGCTGGGAAGAGAGAGCCACTTTCAATGAAAGGGGATAACTCAAAGGGGACGAGAAGTTTGGCGGCGCAGCTGCTGCAATTCACAAGTTTGTTTTGTAGAATGCTGGCGTTCCACCCACAAAAACAACTAGAGCTCCCAGGGAAGTCCTGGAGCCCAGTGGATGATTGGTCTGAGGCTGTCTGCATATATAGTGAAGCCTATGAATAACGTAGCTAGTTACAATCAAGCAAGAAACATCAATAGACATTTCTGAATGTGTCTGGTTCAATCATCCAGGCAAGAGATTTTATCAGAAGATGTGTATTCACCTGCTCAGTGCTCCGTACTCCTATTGATAAACAGATTGTGTTGAGGTGAAGGCTCATCCTTACACAATATCAGCTTGAGCAACCTGCCGTCAGTGCTGTTCCCGGCGGTCTTGAAGGGAACCACCGAAGGATTTTTCATTTTATTTTTCATTTTAATTTTATTATATATATATATATATGTATATATATATATATTTTGCAGAAAGTCGTCTGATATCCTTTTTTCAAGGGCCTTGTCGGGTCAGCCCATCAGGACAGGGGAATAACGTCGTTCTGCTTCCGTCGGATTCCCACTTCCCAGATCAACGGCGCCGCATCGTCAATATTAATATATCCAACTTCCCCTGTATAACTCAAAGCTCAAACTCCAATCTGGTACAAGTTAAATCGTTCTGGACAACAAGAAGTTGATGTCGATAATCAAGACAATCAATCACAAACCAAAGTTTGAGAAAAAGCAAATCGGGCCAAATCAGCTCCGCCTCTTCCAGCTCTGAAATTCAAACATCATTCAACCTTCAACTTCAACCACCATGCAGAGTACCGACAAACCAAGCGTCCCTGTCCCCGCACTACCGGAGCATGAGCCTAAATGCGACTAGCTGTGAGAGGTGAGATATATATGCGACGTACGATTGCTGGCTAGTTTTGTCGTACCCAGTACCGCAAGGTCAGACACTGTCAGCCCTTCTATTCGCCCGCAACCAAACCAGTCTTGGAAATTTCTGCTCTCCTGTACTCAATTTTCCCGCAGAAAATGACAGTGTCTTTGAAGGCTGGAGAATGATCTTCCACCAAGGCGCCCAAGGCGCGAACCGGCGCACACATGGCATTAGGCATTAAGGATCCTGCTAAGGGTGCTTAGTTAGTTACATATTTACCCGGGAACACACCATCCCACTCGCTATTCTCAACGTGGTTCAAGTCCCGCAAGCACCGGAGCTGAACCGGTGAGGGGCTGCCCTTATTCACGGAATGCAGCAGGGCTAAGGCTGGAGAGAATAGAAACCCGCTTCGCTGTTTGCTTCCATCTACACTGCGTTATGGGAATCTATAATGACCTTGGATCCTGAAATCGGTAGCTCTGTGCTGATCGAGCATGCTTGACCTGCACCAGACAAACAAAGCGACAGAAACGGGGACAGCAATCCTGCCTGGTAGATGTATACGAGGATCCATTTCCCGTTTCCCGTTCCCCGTTTTCTCGAAGCCTTGCTACAAACCACCCGCACAAGCAGTGGGTTACAGCTTACCGCTAACTACGGGCGTGTTTTGTGCATATTACATAGCATAATCTTGCTTTTCTGTGCCTAGAGGAGAAACAGTATGAATGAGAAGGCCCGCGACCCGGAGCGAAACAGATGCCAAGGGAAGCACTCCGTTTCGCACAAATTGGGGGGAATCTGATCGACCATGCGATGATTTACACCGTGTCTGATCTCTCGCGGGTTTCGGAGTGCCTGCGTTTAGTTTCACATTGGCTGGGTAAATGTCGAAGACTACGGACGGGAAGCGAAACAGAAAGAA